GCTACTAAAGCGCTTCGATAATTGGTCTTGGGACATATGCCAATCACTTGAGGAAAGTGTGTCTTTTTTTTTTTTAATCATTTTTGCCTTCCCCCCAAGTGAATGGATTGGATGTCTTGAGCAGACAATTCATCATCAAATTTGCTTCACAAGGAACTGAAACTATTTAATACGAAATTCGTGCCTAAATACAGTCAGGTTTTGGGTGAACTTGTCCCTGTTCTTTGAATCCAAGCTTCGAGTGACATCTGCCATGAGTTTTTCAAAACAGAGGGAAAGGCGCGTGTGTTGATCTACTGCCTGCATTTTGACACAACAAATGACGCATTAAAAAGAAGCTCCTTATTCTTGCATTTTCTTCCACCAACGGTTATTGTTCATTCATTTAAATTTTATCCCACATTCTCTCACATTAAAAGCTATTTTCCTCGCACATCAGTTTAGTAAGAGGAAAGGGCAACTTGCCTGAGAAGCCATGATCTGGGTCTTCAAATCGGTGAACATCTGCAAACAAATGACAAATATTAAAAGTCAAATTCCAGGTAATACTGAAATTATCCATTCACACACCCAATATAATTTAAGGCTCGAAAAAGAAATATGATAATTTAAGGACAATCAACAAGGCCTATTATATACTGAGTATTCTTAAAATTAATTTTTGGTGGTTGCAGAGGACGGGGGTGGAGGGATAATTGGGGAACCAAGGAAATTAAGCAATAACTATTCGGAAGCAGACTGTCCAATCTTCAAAAAATAAAATATGGCTCTCTTCAAAAAATAAGCAGACTATTTACACCTCTTTTAAGATCTAATCAATAGAAAGAGTATAAACAATCATACCTGTTCACTTATAAGTATCAAGCTCAACATTGGTCTGCTAAGACTCCATTGGTTACTACAATCCTCAAATAAAACGATCTCAAAAAGGGTCTTTAAAATCTGCAAACATAATAAACACATTCTTGTTTCTCAAAAGAGAAATAATAAAGATTGCAGGTCAAACACACCCAAGCAGGTTGGATGCAGTGTAAAACACAATAAAAAGCTGTCACCTGAGATCTATTAGATAGACTCTCCCTCCCATATGGGCTCATATTAATAACTTAATAAGGGTCAATGTAAGGAAAGATACATAGGAGTGGATTTGATGTTGGTATTTTTCTGTTATAACATAATAAATTGCTATTCTAAAAAATGAAAGCTACTAGGTTATGATCCATTTCAGTTGTTTTTTAACTGTAATAACACTTTATTGGTTTGCACTTTGCCAGACATCAAAAACTATAGAAACCAGAACCTAAATGCCCCCTCAGTCTTGAAAAAATTTGTACATTTAATGTGAGGAAGTTGGAAATTCATGATAACAAGAAAGTTTCTTACTTCTGGAAACAAAGTAGGACAATCTGCAATGTGACGAGAGAGTTTAATAGCAGCAGGTGAAGATGGAGCCTCTCCCATAGTGATGTTGTTGAAATAGAAAGCTGCCAAGTTATCAACAGCTGATGCACACTGCAACAGAAAGTAAAACCTCAAGTTACATGTACATTTCGCAGGATCAAACCATTCGCAGACCTTGCCGTGAGACTGAAAAGTCATTGATTAAAAAAAAGAAAGAAAGAAGAAGAAAGAAAAGAATAGCAACAACTGTAAGAAGAAAAACTATGCAAGCATACCTGAGATGAGATATTTGTGTCCAGACCTTTTAGGCCAGATTCAAGAGAACCAGCTATATGCATAAACGTGTTTGTGTCCAGATTTAGTATAAAAACAATATGACTGCTGAACAGAACCTCCAGAAAAGCAAAATATGCCCGTGTCAGCTGCAAAAAACAAACGAGGACTATCAGAATAAAAGTCAAGTGCAAGGCAAACAATTTAAAAATCAAATTCAAATAAATTTTGCTGACTGAATAATACGTGAAATTCAGGAGGCTATAACAATATGGTACAGCCTTGGTAGTGGTGTCTCTCTCCCTCCCGTTTCCTCACATCCTCTCAGGCCTCTCCTCCTAACCGTGGTAATCCTCTTATGTCTCTGTTGCAGACACATTTACTTGTATTGCCAAACCCAGCCCACTGTTAATAATGGGCCAAGAAAACAACCCATCTTACCAAATGATTGCATCCATCTAAAATCCGCCCATCCCAAAAGAAGTCCCTAATGCACCTGTCAATCTTTTTTGCAATAATTGTAGGAATGGAGAAAACTGAGAGGGAAAAAGATGGGAAGGTTGGAAGAAAAGCTTGAGCAGAGTAAGCCCACCCTTGCTTCCGTTTAGAAAATATGGATTGAATCTTCTTCAAAACGGTAAAGGGTAGGACCAAGGAAATAAGCCAGTCATCTCAGAAGTACTAGTAGTGACTAGCACATATTAGATCTACTTTTTAGAACAAAATTAGCAAAACGGTAGGATCTCTATTGACTAGTCATACCTTTTTTTTTTCTTTTAATGAAAAACCAAGCTTTCATTGAGAAACATGAAAGAAGATAGAAGGGCATACAAAAATCCAGCCCTTATAAAGAAATCCGAGCTAACAAATTGACTTCAATCCAATAGAATAAAACCTAACTGATAATTACAAAAACGGTTTAGTAACCAGTGCCCATAAAGAGACGTTAAACCTAACAATTTCTTACACCTCTACCTCTCCACCCCTCTCAAAATTCTACCATTCCTCTCAAGCCATAAACCCCAAAAATAGGAAAAAAAAACAAGCATGACAAAGCACTCTATCTTTATCTCAAAAGGGAGAAAAATAAGCTTTGATCGTATAGTTCTTAGGGGAGGGTTCTCTCTACCCTCTGGCTTTAGGCTGTATCTTTTTGGGGTGTTTTCCCTCTTTCAATACACCTTTTTGATGTTTCTTATTAAAAGAAAAAGAAGGAGAAAAATGGATAACCTCCTCTCATGGAACAACAATCCCTAATACGAGCTCACAAAACCCCAAAAACCAATGCAAAACTATTTCGTAAGGCCGAAGCAAACTAACACACCACTAAATATGGTGAAGATCCTCCGACACAAGATTAGATATACTACACCACTGCAGGCTCAACCCAACACAAATAGGAATGCCTCTGAATGTGATCTAAGGTGTTAACTCTCCCATGCAAGACCTACCATATAAAGAATTTGACCTTCATTGGAATTTTAACCTTCCAAAGAAAGTATAAATAAGGGGTATCAGGGGTCTCATAAAATCTTGAACAAAGAACTACAAGAAAAAGTACCCGAAGGGTTAGGGACCTAGAACTGAACGTCCCTCACCTGAACATTGCCCAAAAGAGAAACGAGGGCAGGCACTTCCACCTATACCCTATCTGATAAGGGAAAACATAAGCCTAAAGAAATGGAAGAATTAGAACTTGAGGAAGGCATAATGGAGACCACCGAATGTAACTTCTTATCAGACAGATGGCACCAACGAGGAAACAAAGTACAAAGAAGCTTGTCTCCGACTCGACAATCCTCCCAAAAATAAATATTTGCTCCTTCTCCAAGAGAACAATATATACACTACCAAATGTATAATACATGTAAGTTATTCTGACTAGTCGGAATAATTTACACGTGTTATACATTTGATAGTGTAGAATACTGCAATGAAAATTTCTTATGGTCCTCAGCACTATTATTTTTCAGCATTTGAGTTCCATGGGTGTGATTTCACCATTACTAAAAAATTGGCCACATCATGTAGTTACTTCAATGAGAATTGAAACATGAGTATCTTGTTCATATTAAGCTCAATATTAGGAGATTATAATGGATGGCAAAACTGGTTGCAATATTTACAAATTTGTTACACATAAATATAATTTGACAATTTTTTCCCTTGTATATCACTAATCTGTCATTAGCAGTAATATACCCTAATATAAAGTATATCAACATATCATTTATTGTGAAATTAAAATATATATACCATTTTTATATCATTGATAAACTACATCACTAATAAACCTAATATAAAGCACATCGCTAACATACGAGTCATACATCTGTGCTATATTTGCAAAATATTTTATCATGTGACAAATCTTCTATTATTTAGGTCCTATCTATAATCTACAATTATTAGCAAGTGTGGTTGAATTGTTATGTGCACGAGGCTCATCACTTTATAAACTACCATTATCATTTGGTAAAGGAATGAGTTTGCACACCTTTCGAAATGCCAATATGTGAGCTAAAGGAATTGACAGCGTCATCTTTAAAGCAATATCAAGTGCATCAGAGAGTGCTGGGTCGCCATAGAGTTCAAAAACCCCAAAGTTGACATAGTTTCCAGCGAGAGCTGCAATATTGGCAATTCATGGAAAAGCTTACTAAATTTAAAGTTCACACCATAGTTGCTGAAATTTTTTCAGAGAACAGGTATCTGATTTTCTTTTCAATCTACATGACAAAATTCAACAGCAGAACTTTTAATATATACTGTAAACATGAATAACCTAGCGAATACAGGTAAACTCAGAATCATAGCTTACTTAACAAGTACAGGAGATAAAATGTAACAGGTGAAGTCCATCTACTACATAAGCTACCCAAAGAATAACAAGACATAAAATAAAAGACAACCAACAAGTCTCCAACAATTCCAATAACTGACCAGAAATGACGGAGAAAAAAAACACAATACGATTAAAAAAACAGAGTGCAGCACAAAAGCTTTTATAGTAACAACATGGATACAACCACTCAAGAAGTCGAGATTAAAGTGGCTGACAAAATGTTAAAAGTGTCTTTCAAAATGAAATTATAATTTTCTTAACTTGAATTGAAGACAAAGAAATAAAAATATATTACACACACATACAGCCAATAGATACCATAAAAAATATAGTAATAGGATGGTTATATACTTGCCTCTTGTTAAAATAGTCAATGAAATCCATATTCCCTTGTATTTGAAGGCATATTTATCAGCAGGGTTTGGGAAAGATAAAATCCTTGATCCATAAGCAACAATTAGTTTGCTGACTTCTCGGAAAATAAGTATGCCATTGGGAGAAGATGAGTCAAAAGTCAAGCGTTGCGCTTTGTTTAGCACAAACTCAGCCATGAATTTCAATAATGGGGTTGTTACCTGTATATATTATTTAATTCTCATTCAACGTGACGTTCTATTCAAAATAAATAACAAAAGAACATAGATGTAAAATCAAGAGGGGAGAAATACATGGTCATAAAAAGAACAATAAAATACATTCAATGTTCACGCCCCAGCAAAAATTAAGCAAGAGTTTGGTTCCCTATAGGACCAGAACGTCAAGAGACTCTTTAATTCCAAGATCAGAAATGAAGCTACACACTATCCTGTCTCGTGATTTTCTATTTATATGATGTAGCAACTCTACCTTAAGATGATTTTTATAATAATAGAATCAATCGTAATCAATCACGTGAAGGTCCTTCCTTTTATAAATACCTGGCAAAATCGTTGTGGAATACTAAACGTCCGAGAAAGGTGAACATAATAATATGGGTGATGCTTCAAGGATGTATAAATACAGTTGACAAAGTATTTGAATGTGTCATCTTTGCTTGAATGCAGCAGAGGAAAGCAACCAAATTTTTTTCCACTGTGACTACAGTAGGAACATTTGGACAGCAGTGCTGCAAAGTTTCTTTTTGTTATGGGTGCCTAATTATAGTGCATCAAGTAATTTGAAGGCTTTCTTGGAAGGTCGTGGGTTTGGAAGATGTACAAAGACAGCATGGATAAATACAATGAAATCCGTTATATGAGGTATGGAATGAAAAAATCTATGAATCTTTTAAGATGCAAGATGTTCATTGGAAGAAAGAGTAGTCTTGATCAAAATTTCGGCAGAAAGTTGGTGTGTTCTTTCCTAGAGTTTTTCGTAATTATTCTCATTCTGAAATTGGTTTGAAATAATAGGGTTTTAACGTTGGAAATTATATAAACATTTTAATACTGTAACTTATTAGTTATCAATAATCGATGAAAAGTTTTGTTTCTCCTAAGAAAAGAAAAGATAAAGTATTTAGTAGATATTTGAGATTGAAATCTCTGCATCAGATCTGATATAGGGGTATTCTGTAATCAAGGTTCTATTACTAAATAATCTCATTACTTAGCTGTTAGGCTAAGGCAACTGCCTAAGCAAGTTTCAGAAAAGTAAATTCCAAAACATGTTGGTTGAGTTGTCAGAAGGATGCAACATTTCTCCAACTTTGGACATTTTGGACCTGGCTGAACTTTCAACTAGATTCAATACCTCCCCTTGGCTCTCGATATCTAAAGAGTTATGTAATTATTCCTTGTTTCTAATTCTTAATGGAGCCCTTTCCTTAGTTGCTAGGCGGTGGGCATTTGGTGTTGTTTTTTGGTTTGGGCTGGTTTTTTCTTCTTTTTTTTTCAATGAAAAGCCGAGCTTTCATTGAGAAAATGAAAGAATACAAGGGGATACAAAAAACCAACAAAATGAGCCAAACTAAAAGAACGGACTCCAATCAATCAAGATCAAACCAAAGGAATAAATACAAAACACTTTGGACATTGAGTACCAAAGGAAAACATGGAACCAAACAATGTCCCACACCTCCTCCTCGATCTCTCTACCCCTCTAAAAATCATGTTGCTATGTTTGTTGTATATCCTTCCATTTCCCCTATGAAAGTATGTTTTTGATCAAAGAAAATGACATGTTAAAATAACCTAAAGAGAAGAATGATAGCAGGTGTTTCTTAAATACGAAACAACTTTTCATTAATAGATTAAAAGATACAAAGTGTTCAAGGATACAACCTCCAAGAGGATTAAAAGAAAACTCAACTACCATCCAGAGAAAAAAGGCCAAAACAACATCCCCAAAAGAAAAAACCAAAAACCTTTTGAGAAAGAAAACAAGCTTTCTTCTGGATCACTTGGCAAGAAAAGAATGATAAAATCTTTAGAGACGCATTGTTTCCTAATTTTTTTTATGATATAATATAGTTTTATTAGTTATATCAATTATCATGGCATAAATGCTCCCCCTCTTTCATCACTATAGTTTTTCTAATCTTATAACTTATTTTGTAACTCCCTTAGATGGAGACATCTCTCTTTTGTAATTTCATACCATCAATGAAATAGTTTCTTATCAAAAGGAAAAAAGAACCACAAAACCAGCCAAAACACCAATAAACTAACCAGAACCAGAGAAAACTATAGCCTAATAAAAATCTGACAACAGATCGGCAAACCAAATCCTCAAGAAAAGAACTGAAACTTAGCTAAGAACAAATTGCCGTCCTAGAAATAGAAGCTATGCTCTTTCTATTGAATAGAGACTCTTAATATCAAAGTATGTGTGAGCGTTGAGCGTGAATTAGCTATATCAAATACCTCTGGTGTATCTGTCCACTGAGAAATGCCTTTCAAGAGGAGAAGCATATGCGCAGGGTATAGCCAATCAAATAGAAGTCCATAGGTCCTGCGACTGTAAAATAAAAGAATATGTATAAACAAATCGAAGAATTTAGATAATAGATTTTCAATAATGTTACCTGTTTGTGGCCATAGCAATCCCTCTGAGATCTCTCATTAACCCAATAAGTGCATATTTTACAGCATCAGTACGAAACATTGAGTCAGGAGTTGTTTCCAATTTGATAAAAACCTAAACCATCATAAAAACTCAATTGAGAATGACTAAAACAAGAAAATATATAAATGAGGCTTCCACCTAGCGTCATATTTATAAAATCAAATTTCATTGCTAGGCAAAATGACAACAAATTCATAAATAAGCTGCAAGATTACCAATTATCCTGGAGACTAGTATATTCCCTCATTTTTATTAATTATATTCAACATCCAGCTCATTTGTCACAAATAACTTGATTTTTTTTATTTCTCTATTAATTCTTCACACTCTACCAGTACACACATATGATCTGGTCCTCAGACTTGCCGTTAATGATGAAAATCCCCCTAAAGGATAGATATGCATCCTTGCATGTATGACATCGAATGTAAGCAAGCATGCACGTCACCACATGTGTGTGTGTGACAGAGATCAGAGAATTTAACCTGCAACAGTGGTTCCATTGAGGATTTAAATTTAACAGGGCTTTCCTCCATAAAAATTAACCAGCCAATGGTGTAGTAAAAGGTCGTCCTACTGCGTGAACATCTGTATTCTTCCAAGAAAGGAAACTGCTCCCTCTAAAAGTTTAGGTTGAAGAAAAATCTTCAAATGATATGTATAAAGGATATAACAAAATTCGAACTCAGATGAATAAGGAACTAAAAAGACATCTTCTAGAAAGTAGTACCGTATGGTTGGCAACAATGAATTTAACAGTATCCAATTTCAAAAGCAGCTTCCCTGTCATGTATCTGACAAATGCGAAAGAAGGGGACAGGGGGATGGGATGAAAGAACAATAAGCAACCTAATATGAATGATTTCAATTCTTCAACTAAGACACTGTTGTAATAGGATTTACCCAGATGCCAGCTCCAAAAACAAACTTAAGGTGTGATCAATGACCTCCTCACTCTGGAATTTACATAAAAAGCTGGTTTTAAATCCATAGAAATCTTATAAATACAAAGAATGAATAAATATTTCACCTCGGTGTAACACTTGAGATTTGTTGCAATCTTGCTGACAATCACATTCAACAGTTGAAGATGGTCATGAAGTCCAAGGAGTTCAGACAACCGCGCATATAACTGCTGCAATTGAAAAAAATAATGAATAGATGTACGACATATTAACCTTCATTTAGAACAGAATGATATATTTATTAATTACCTTTGAGGAATGCATTGCCTGATCACCCACGTAAGACTTACGAAAATTCTGGAAGAAGGTAAGAATAGCTCGATCAAGTCTTTGCTTGCTTGCTTCACTGTACCTCTGCAGGAAGCAAAGGTAAATTAATTAAAGATATGAAGTTAGCAGAAATGATCCTTTTACTAGACAGAATGTTGTTATTCTACGAAAACCAACAACTTCAATGGAAAGGTTGTCTTGATTCGGCTTGGTAGAGGCCTGGATGAAGTGGGGTGGTCCCTTGACTCTTGAGGAGTTTTTACTTCAAATGCTACTTTCTCATCCTCCGAACTTTCCTCCTTAAATGCTATTGTTTGCTTTAGTGGGCATTGGGCACATACCTGACTATGTAGACCATTGTCAGTAACATTTATCAATTGCAACACACGAGCTGACAATTCCGCGTCAAGAACTTCCTGTGATTCCACACTGCATGAAAAGACAGTAAAACAAATATTAGGAAAAGTCATCAATCATCATGAAATGAGATTTCCACCTTCCAGTGGAGCTGAAGAGTTATATTACCTACAACCAGTGCATTGTTTTATTTTAACAATAGCAGCTATAATATGAACAATCCATGCAAGTTTGGCTTCAATAACAGAGAGTTCACTGTTATCACTAGCTTGCAGCCCAGCTCTTTCCTATTTAGGTCAAACACAAAGAAATATAAGTGACCAACTTTACCACCGAGTAAAATAAAATTTGAACAAAGTCATTCACATCAATAAGCATACCGTGTATGTTCGCAAAATAGGCTCCATTATATTTATGATGCACAAACTACTGGTTTCATACTGCAACTCAGGTGAGAGCAAAGGTCAGAGAGCAAAAGGCACCAAATCAAAACATATATTGCTGAAGCTAAATTTACATATTTCAATTTGCAAGAACAGAAGTTACTGTTTCAATTAAAAAATAAAAATAAAAGAATGAAAAACCATGCATGAAGATTTGGACCTGGAATCTGCAGAGGTATGGAAAGCAATCCAGTTGATCCTGTAAGACTTCAACGTTGTCTAATGGATTCTCAGAAAGATCATCCTGTAATCCAGACTACGCATGAGAGTCAGATAGAGAAAGCTCCTTCTCACCTTTGCAAGCAGAAATCATAAAGTCTCAACAAAGAAAGACAGGTCACTCACCTGCACAGAGTTCAACCTTGATGTGATGAAACCTTCAGTAATTTTAGGCACAAATTCATCCAATAAACTAGGAGCATCGCCTTTCAAATATGGAACAGAGGTTACCAATCTGGACCATAGCCCTAAGAGATAGTAGACACTGCTGCTAGCCCACTGGCAACAGGCCATTATTTTCATTAGTGATGTACACAAACATGATTTGTGGATGATACATATAGATTATTCATAGAATATTCCAATATAGAATCAACTATTTCAATAAACCTGCCAAGAATGCAAGGACTTCAAAGTGAACTCTGCAACTAAACGTATCCAATCACTATAGCCCTCCACATTCACAAGCTCAGACAGCTGCAAAACAATGGTATAGATTTTAGTCACTCCTGCAGTCACATAAGCTATACAATTTGATAATTCAGAACACCCATATTAACCATAGTAATATCTATCCCACAAATCAAAAAACAGATAACTATACCACTAAATCCTGAGGGAAAACTTGCAATCTATGTGTCAAAGAGCAAGCAAAAGAACAAACATGATTGATTACAGAGCAGTTTGGTGGCTAAGGAACAAATATCCTGTTCAAAACCAATGTCCAAACTTTGACCCAATGTAGACTGAGGAGCAGCACCATTAGTTGATTCATTACACAAGTTATTTCTGTCATAGTCCCACCTTACATACTTTTTTTAATTTATTTTTTGTTCCAAGGGTACAAGAATGTCAGGATTAATCACACATGGAGAGGCAAGTGAACCAAACTGCCAGATCCCAAGAGAATCACACTCCTTAAGTTACTATACTTAGACTGGGCAGCCAGAACTAACGGCAATGATCTACATAGTCCAAGTATTATGTGCAAGGTAGGGGGCAGATGAAACTAACAGATGGTACACAGCCAGAGAGAGCAAAAAATCTAAAATAGAGGTTGCAAGTTGAAGGTAGTGTGGGCTGGGTGGATGAAGAACAGAGGATGAATCAACTTGGGAATGACTTGATTGGAGGAACTTGAAATTATGGAGGCCTTTTGTTTCAACCCTCCCCTATTTTTTGGAATAGGGACGCAGGGGCTGGATGGAGAAGAACAGAAAGAGAGAGAGGGATGGCTGGGGAAAGAAAAAAGTTTTTTTTCCTAACAAGAAACAAACTTTTCATTAATAATGAAAAGGAAGATCGTTCAAAGATACAAACTCCGAAAGGAGTGAAAAGAAAACGAACATCAAAATAACACTAATGGGGAGAAATAAAGGCCTCCATTTATTACAAATCATACTAGCGGTGTAATTAGCGAGGAGATCGGAAAGCGCACACCATTGAGAGGCTTTGAACTTGGCAATAGCGGAACATTCCAAATGGGATCTTCATTTGTCTTCAAATACCCTCTGATTCCTTTCAAATCATATTTCGGATATGATAGCTTTAAGACCATGAAGTCAAAGAAGGCTGGCTTTACCATGAAAACGTGCACCACAAATAAGCTGTAGGATATTGCTTGAGCCTTGAGGGCTCTAAGCCCGGAAAGAAAAGAGTTAGCTCAGGCAACTATTTTTTCTAAAAATATAGAGGCCGCACGATGAGCAGTGGGCTGGGCTGGGCTGGCTAGCAATCCCTTTAAGAGGGGTTCTCCAGTTCCTTTGACTCATTTACCACATTCCATCGTACTCAAAACTTCTCCTCATTCTTCCCAATTGCTTTCCCCTTTTAAATCCATCCATGTCTCTCCTCCATTCTTTCATTTTCTCACTATCTAGTCCATTATCATGGTAGCCAAAAGGTGCGGTATATCATATAGTGCAACCATCCTAGTCACATTCTGGGTGAAGTGTACCAAAGCCCACTCCAACCCTACTGACGCAATGACTCTGCTTTGATCTTTCCAATCCTTTTACTCTATCTTCCATTTTCTTTTATTTCATTACCAGATCTAAATGCATATTATGATAAATCAGTGCTTGGCCATAGGGGCAGATGCAGAACTGAGATATGGATGGGCTGAGTATATAAATTGTTCAAATTGTTAACAAACAGCTACCAGCCCCCAATACACAACTGATACATTCATAGAGAGTTTAAAAAATTTCATGTCTGCCCCTACATGGTTAAAGGAAAAAACCAAACATTCTTCACTAAAATAAATGCGCTAAGTAATACATAAACACAAAAAACACAAAATGTTGAAGCATAAGCCATCATATCGTCAAGTAACTAAACTAGACATGTATATCCGCACACAGGCATATATTGCAAGTGAAAGTAGCTACAGAGCAAGAGAACCTGATGAAAAGTTCATCAGGAAAGAAAACCTGGTAATTAACTCTAAAGCGTCCAAGAAGACGGCAATACTCATGGTAATTATCATGATCAACCAGACCTGAAAACCAAAATAAAAAACATAGACAAATAGAACAAATAAATAATTAAATGAAAAATGAACTAAAACAATCAGCAAAAGCAATCTAGGTTTGAAGAGAACAAACAGCTTTCCGAGATTGACACAAGGCCAACCATTAGGAGTCGGATAAAACTATCAAGTCAAACTTATCATGACGCTCAAGCCAGTTAAAATCTTGGTAGCCATGAAGTATAATAATCAATATCATCTTTTGTACAAAGAGGTATTGTAATCATATAATTCCCACAAGTTTCAAATTTCACCTTTTATTTAATGTAACAGGTTAGAGAATATATTTCCAGAAATTCAAGCAACACCAAAAGTTCAACTTGGATCTACTGATCAATTGGTACGGCAACCACATAAGGGTATAAACATAACCATGGAACAAGAACACATCAAAAGCCAACTGCAACCTCCAAACTCACGGGGCACCCCACAAAAATTAAAAAATACAAACAAAAATGTTGACTTCCTTGCCCAGAAAACGACGAAGGTTTCTAAGAGCACAAGGCATGTAATGATTGAATGAAGACTTCTCCCCACCCAAGTGTTCCAAAAAAATATATTTTTAAAAATTCAAAAAATGAAGAAATAAAGAAAAAGATAAAAACTATTCACGAACATATACATAAAACAATTTTTTATCCGTTCCATCTATCAATGGAAAATTATTTCTTTTTCATCTATTTTGAAAAATTTTATGTTCTTTTTCATCTATCAATAAAGAGTTTGCTTCTTATCAGAAAAACATGTACACGTGACAAAAGTAAAGGATGCAACGATGAACAAACCTTGCCCAGATTGTAGGATTTCTTTAGTTCCTGTCATGAGATGGGCCAAAAATTTAGAACGAGCAGCGTCGTTTGTAAACAAAGAACGTCTTACAGAAGCTAGCCGCACCAAGCATTCCAGTGCCTAGAACAAAAATTCAGAAGCCCCTAAGAAAGTATGTTTAAACTGAAAAATAAATGAGTAAATGTATCCAGAATTTAAGAGAATACAGATTTTTTTTTTAGATAAGAAACATTTTATAGACAAAAGGCACAGAACCACACAAAAAACAGCCTAAGGGCAGGTGGAAGAGGGCTCCCCCTCCCAAGAGAATACAGATGAATCACTAGTATGATTCGAAAAATTAATTTAAGAAACCTTAGCTATATGCTGCTCATGGCTACCCCAAAAAAAAAAAGAACATCTGGAATATAAACCAAACTTCTAAAAGGTATGTTCGTGGGTACGTTCATGGGTGGAGGACGTATTGTTCCACCTACCATTTCAAGAAAGGAAGAGTATATAGCGTGCAGCTTTTTTCCTAGGAAAGATTTGGCTTGAGAGAAATAAGAACATTTTTTAGAGAGGTGGAGAGATTTTAGGGAGGGGTGAGGTAGGTCCATAGCTTGGTATGTCTAGAGTGTTTCCATGAATGTTCCAAGGAGTTTGTAATTATCTATTGCTTCTTACCCTCAACGACTAGAGCCTTTTCTTTTTTCTTAGTTAATTTCCTTCATATGGGCTCCTTTTGTGGTACGCCTTTTTTTCTGTGTCATCGGTTTGTATTCTTTCATTTGTTTGAAAAAAAAGCAGGGTTCCTCATTAAAAAATAATAATAAAGCTAATTCGTTTCTTGTTAAAAAAGTAATAAATAAATCAAAGCCTGGAGCTTCACCTGTTTTCTCAAAAAACAAAATCAATTTTCTGGAGCTATAATCACCAGAAGAATATTTGCTTACAAAAAACAAGAATATCTTGACAATACAGATCACAGCAAGATCACAATCTTGCACAATCAATGATGAAGGGAGGTACGAGAGCTCAGAAAGAACCCCATAATGGTGCTAAAACGTAAACTTCAGACCACATTGCAATTAGCATCGTATCTTCAATTCTCTATTCAAAAAATATCTTGTTCTTCTCTTTCTTGATGCGTACAGAATTGCCAAAAGCACCTAAAAACTTCGGACCACTTTCACCAAATGAGGAACATAAGCAGCAATTTGGAGGCCTTAAGCAGAAAAACCAAGCTCTTCTAGCCAAATGGGGATGGAGATTTACTCAACAGGTTGATTCTTTGTGGCACATTGTCATAGCAATCATATGTAGTACTGACTCCAATTGGCATACTTCGGAAAAGAAAAATAGCTGCTCAAGGTGTCCATGGACCAACATCTCCAAGAATTGGAGAAAGGTTCAATTATCAAGGTGGGCAACGGTAAGAGAACTCACTTTTGGCTTGATTTGTGGTTAGGTGATTCGGTGTTCAAAGATCGTTTTCCTCATATCTATGTGGTGGCAAAGTCTCCCTCTAGTTCTGTTTTTAAAAATTGGGATGGACATTCTACTTCTTGGGTCATTCAAAGGTTTTTTTCAGTAAAATCATTATAGTTGGCTCTGGGAAACAGGAATCTATTGTCAAAAATTCTGCTATCGGCCCTATTGAAGACCACTTGTCCAAGAAAGGTTAGTATTTGATCTTGGACCCTCTTGAATGGTAATTTGAATACTTCAGAAACTTTGAAAAGGAAGCTCTCCAACTTTTCACTTCAGCCTTCTTTGTGCTGTGCTGCTTATGTTCACCGTGCAGTGAAAGTCAAGACCATTTATTCTTTCACTGTCTTTATGTCTCGAATTGTTGGTGGTCTCTTTTCAAAGTCTTCAACATATCTTTGGTCTTCTCAACTGATGCCAAAAGCAATTTGTTGCATCTATTTTATTTCTCTTGTTTTCATCCGAAGGCTCAGTCATTATAGGGTTGTGCATTCAACTTACTAAATTTGGTCAAAAGGAATCAGATAATCTTTTGAAACAAGAGCAAGGATTGATTCGAATGTTTTGAGCTTGCAAAATTTAAGACGTCTCAATAGTGTTCTCTTTCGATTTTATTCTCAAGTTATCTTTCGATTGTATTCTCAAGTTATTATTCTAGTATTTATGGTTCTTGGGAAGCTTTTATTTCTTCTCAGTTTTCTGATTCTTCTTTAATTATTTGTACTTTTTCACTCTTTTGGAGTTTATATCTCTGAGCATCTCTCTTTTTTTCATTTATCAATTAAAGTCTCATTTCTTGTCAAAAAAAAATAGAGAGAGAGAGAGAGCTTTCCTTCGTCTTTTATCTTAAGGAACTCAAAATCTTGTGTAAGAAAATGATTAATATCGTATGGCAAAACCAACTGATCTGGTTAGCAATAAAGATGCTCATAAGTATTTAAACAACAGACTCCTTGATTTAAAGGCAGTTATCATAAGCCAAGTTTCAAATGAAATTAATTCTCACTAACTATTTAATATTATCATTACAAAAGTAGTTAATCTCATTGATCTCAAATCACGACATCATAATATTTTCAAAAGAAAACAAAAAATACATACATATTAAGTTGTACTAACCTCTTTGGAAAGAGGCGATTTTGTGATGGTGTAGTAATCAAAAAATATTTGTAGAGTTGAAGGATCCTCCAGAACTGGCTTCCAAGAAGATGGAATCTGCAAAGCCAGCAGATATAATGCATGGTCATCCCAATCTTTTTATAATCTTTTGGATAAGAAACATTTCGTTATTGAATAATCATATGATAGAAACCTCCTCTTTTGTTAACAAACGAGAGACTATAAAGACACACTTCAGTTAGAATAAATCAGAAAAAAGGAGTGATATAAAATAGATTTGGTGAAAGAACGTCATAAAAACAAACTAAATCAAGGGTACATGGACATCTCCACTTGTAGCATCAAATTGTCAAGTTCCTTTCTAACCACAAACCTCAATAAGAAACCATAACAGCTATAAGTCATAACTCACGAGGCCTTAACTTTGTTATCAAACGGATCATCTTTATAAACCTGAGCAAAAATAATTAGGAAATTGCTAGGTCTGCACCACCTAAAGGCCAAAACTCCGAAACAACTGCCACCAAATATATCTAGAATACTGATAAGTGAAAAACAAATGTTCAAGAAATTTTAAATTTCTCTCTTAAAGGACATGCCATAAAAGAACAAAGCTAGGCTCAGATTTCTTTTTCATAAATTTTCATAGATGTTGAGTTTGCCAAGATTATTCCAATATTCAACAACAAAATCAAATGATCAATGGTAGATAACCAAATGAAATACCTGAACAGTACCGAACTCTTCTGAGCTTTCATCAATAGAGGTTCCAACAAAATCAAAACATAAACACTTTAGGGATAGAGAAAGTGCTAATTCTTGCAAACGACCAGCTACTGCATACCACACAATAAAATTCATAAGTAAATGAAGAAAATAAATTTTGAGATAGGACGGTCCAAAGAATTCAAAAGGACTGGTTTAGTAATTTTGACAACTTAGTAAAGTTAGCACCTTACCATCATTCTTCAACTGACCCAAGGATGTTAAAGATATTTGGAAGATTTGGAACAACGCTTGGTCCCTGAAGGAACAAGCCACTCTCCGATGATTTGTTGAAGGGAATCCTTGATTAGGCTAAAAATTCAACAAGTCAATAGAAGAACAAGATGATGGTGTCAAAAAATTACGGTGAAGTATAAAATAATATAAATTTTGAAATTCAATGAAAGGTGCCTGAAAAATAGAAAAATAAATAAATCCACATTCTTGCAGACAGCCAATATAGAACTACATAAACACGTGAACAGCAAAATAGATATACTGATTCTGAATGCAAACTTGCTATTTCATACAAAAGATAATTTTTATTAATTGAATGTCAATCATTACAGCCTAAGAGATATGGAGGATGAGTGATCCTCTACGAAGACCGGGGGGAGAGAGAGTTGTGTGTTTGTGACATTACACAAAATTTAAAATTTTAAAACTAAATACATGAAAGCCCCCAAAAAGCCAATAAACATGGTTTCCTCCAACAAGTTTTTGAACATAACCACTGTCTAAAATCTTCAGAAATTGTCTTCACCTACAATCAACAAGTAAAAGTTTAGTTTCTAATCCTCACAAATATGATCTAAAGTGAACTCAAAACCATGTAGGAAAATGATCGATATAGAATGTGTCCATCCTAGGAATAAGTAGTGACAAGTCTAATTACTTTAGGCCAATTGATAGTTACTGCGCACAAGGGTTTCTTAATAAAAAAAAGCTATATTTTATTTAGAAGAAAAGAAAGTACACAGTTTAGAAGAGGATAAAAACTCTTATTTAAAAAATTACAATTCAAAAACAAAATTTGGAAGCATAAAAACAAATTTATCGGAAATATAATGACTCTGAGAAAAAGAATGAATAAATATCACAAATTAGACACCTAAATAGAAGCTAAAGTTATTACTCATTTCAAAAAAAAAAAAAAAAATTTAATTTTAACAGTTATCCTCACTCAAATTATTCATTTCCAACCAAATAATCCATTGGGTTGAAGAATCGAATATCTCTACAAAGCCAGCCTTTGTCTAAAATTTTTTCCTTCAAAATATCCCAATCTTTTAAAGGGTTAATGCTCTTAGACCGAATTAAGAAACCAGCCAATGACAAAACCAGAAAAGGGGGAAAACTAAACAGATTAGTACAGTAGCCATGTACAAATAAATACAGTAACTGTGAAGAAAAGTAATCATTCTATTCCACATCTACTTACACATGAAACAAAATTACAAAGAAAAAAATCAAACAAAACCTTAATAAATAATAATTCTAATAAAACAGAATAGATACAAATGCTGACTGGAGCCTTCTCTGTAATTTTTTTAATAATTTTAATTAGGATCCATTAGTGGTAGTGGGCTCTCTCTTTTTTGGTTGCCGGATTCTACTTTTCATTTGTCTTGATGGAGTTTGGTTCCTCATCAATAAATAATTAAATATATATATATATATATATATATATAAGCTGACTGTGTACAGAAATATATATATATATGGACCACATATGAAGAAGACTCCATGGTCAGTGTATAGTAAACATATATATACAGCAACTCTGCACAAAGTAACAATTTTGCTATTCCACATCTGTACATCCTACTAACACATGACAAAATTTAAGAAAAACCAGCTCAAACAAAACCTTGGGAACAATACACACACACACACACACACACATGTTACAGCAGTTAAGCATAGATAAGTAATTGACTCATTCAACTGACACTTGATTTACATAACAAATAACTAATAAACTCATTCAAATGACACGTGATATACACTATATAGCAGCCAAGCACAAGTAATCAATCAACTTATTTCGAGTGACACATGAAAAAAAATGGAAATAAATAACAGTCTCATTTAACTTTCTTTGAAAATGTACTGTGCAGAGACATGCTATCGAATATGCACCATCCTCAAGGCTGTGGGCCCTAAGCAAGCTACCTCAATATATGTTGTGTCTATTAGGAAAATATTTAGATACTTTAAGACTGTTCATTATGTCTACACGGAGGCAGAAATTTCGCCATCATTTAGAATAGCACATAGCTGTTTTCCTTAAAAAGTAAGAAAATAGCCCTCCCTAAATGAAAAAATATTGTTGAGCATGACAAGGTCCAAAATCTTCAAAATTTTTCTTAAACAGTCATATTCACACTCCAATAAAATAACTCAGAAGAGATTTTAATAGTACACTGCCATATCGTAGATTTGGTCTCATGATTTTACCACCAAAGAAGTATCAAACTAGAAATAATGGAGGACGCTTCGTAAACAACTTACTCTCGTCCATAAAATATTCATTCCAATTACAACATCAAATTTTTACGAAAAATACGTGCTAAAAGAAACATCAACATTGGAATCCCTCATTTCCCAGATGGATTTTCAGGAGCGATTAAAAAACCAACCTGATTCATCTCAGATACAAGTTGGTTCAATATCTTCAAACCAATGGCATAGTGTTCTGATGTTGCCTGCATGTAAAGAGGCACGTGAGCCAGTATATTCAATGTGGAGGACTACCATAAAAATGATAACTGAAAACAGTATAATTTTAAAATAATATGAGCAACAACTTAATTTTACAATCCTATATAATGGGAATTATATATTTTAACTATATTAATAGATGGAATGATGATGAATTTTTTTTTACTATTTTATATTTTCAAAGGTGGAATGGTTGCCAATCAAATGCAACTCCTCTCGACTCATCTTGTGCTGAGTTGTATTGTCACTGAGCATATTTTATGTTGTATGGCCATGATTTCTGGTCCAAGAAGAAACACACTCTATTACCAGTTATGGTATGACCGGAAATTCATGCAACCAAAATGTTGAATGTAAAGCAAACTGATACTAGTTGCTATGTTGGCTGCATGAGACTTACACTAAACAGAAACAATTAATAACTGACAAATAATCATAAAGGAAAATAACATCCCAGGCTAATTATAAGTTTTTTTTATAACTGAGAGTCGGAGCTTTGCTCCCCTGTACCCCTGGACACCCACATCCACCCTAAGGCTTGGACCCAAAAGATATCAATGGTTTTTGGTATTAAGTTCACGTTTGAACTTTAGACCTTTAAGTTAGTATGACCAATAGACCCCACGCCCTTCACAGCCGGGCTGCTCCTTGGGGACTCCAAGGCTAATTACGATTATATCCTACTTTAAGAGATTTTGTTCTTATTCATCAGAAACATTTCATTAAATCAAAATACCAGATGAGACATCCTCCCACTGCAACAGCCAATGTGATTATAAAAATTAATGGCAAAGTTTTTTCTTTTTCAGCTGGTGAGAAGAAGAGAGGATGACATGATGCCCACTTTGTATATGAGCTTTGAACATAGGTTTTAGTAAAAATCACATCACCTGTCCTAGGAAGTTCGTAGATTCTTTAACAATGTCTCGAAATCGGTCATCATCAAACCAACCAAACTTTGTGAGTCGGCATAGTAGCTGGATTAAAGATGCACTGACAAAAGGCTGCAAATCAGGCCCTCTGGTGGCCAAGTAGTTTATAAGATAGCCTCCTACAAATAACAACGATCACGATTACCATCTAAACGGTCAAAATTAGCATGTTGATAAAAAAAAATAATAAAATAAATAAATAAGCTTTTGTCAATAGACTTGGAAATTACGGATATCTAAACGGAGTTGCAGAGCAAGAGTATGATCGGTGACTTGCTTCAACAAACTTGAACTCGCAAGCATGAGTGCATAAGGAGTTAATGCATGGTCGAGAATGTATTGACATTGAGAAATGTAATCAGTGTTCATGGAGAAGCATTTAAGAGTGTTTTCAGCGTGGGCTCGCTCCACTGAGTCTCGAGAGGTGTAAAGCCTTTCACACAAAGCCTCTAGCTGAGCTAATTCCATAGCTTCGGATTCTGAAAGAACAACATTAGAAAACTGTCACTAACATCTCGGCATCATATTCAGCTATACTATGCAGGTCGGTTTATTACTACATTACAGATCCTTGCATTTCAGATTCAATCACCCACTAAAGACACAAAAAGCAAATCTTAGTGCATCGAGGAACTAGGAGACACGAAGTCGAGAAAAGTACACTTATATCCTGAAGTTGATTCTGAATTGAATGATTTGCACAGTGGCTATGGATTCAGGATTTCCTCTTAACTTAAAACGTTGATTTTAATTTACAGCTGATTGATTGATGTTATTTCCAATATCCATACACAAAAATCAAGTTATCATCATCGACACACCAGCTAGACGTTGCGGAGCTTGCCGAGTGAAGTGTTCACTTCATGGATGAACAGAGAGAGCTGTAGAAAAGCGCCGCAGCCGTCCTGTTCTTCCTGGTGGATGCTGAAAAGAGATGGAAGATCGCAGAGACAAAAACAAGGCGACGACTTTGGGGAATGGGCGAACCTGTGGAGCTTCGATTGGTTGGTTCTCCTTCTCACGGCGTCTTCCAGAGAGATTGATTGATCGAATTTTACAATTTCCGCAGAGCGCACCAAATTGTTCCTCGAAGTGGCATCACAATGTGCATAATAAAATCTATTATTATTATTAATATTATGATTTTACCTCTTGGCATTGACGTAAATTCTGTGTTTTAGGAGTCCTGGAAAACAATATCCCAAAAAACAAGAGGAAAACTTTGCAATATTCGCTTATTTGCTTATCATGCGATTATTATAAATTGTATATTTAAATTACTTTTTCAAAATACAATTAAATATGAATATAGTTTTTTTTTTCTTAGCAAATTAAATATGAATATAGTTGTGTTTATTCTGATGGGTGCTTTTGGAGTTTTTTTTTTTTTTTCTATTCAACAATTATAGTAGAAATCAGATCATCGAAGTTCGAAATTGTGGTAGGTAGGTATCTATCTAATAAATTACACACAAAGTGACCGTACCTTCAAAAAGTTAATAATTTAAACTTTTGCTCGTTTTATAATTGGTGTCTCGCGTTTTTTTAGTATGCAAAAATGATATTTAAACATGTACTCAACTTATGTATATTAATGATCAGATTAGCGTAATTTAATTTGTTAAATTTTGTATTAAAAAAACACAAAAACAATCCAACTAGTTAAATTATTACACGTATATTGTAAATGTCTTCAAAACAATATGCTATATTATTAAACTACAGATAAATATGCTATATTATTAAACTACAAATAAGAAAAGTGAAGAAAAACTTTTATGTGTTGATTATATATTTGCTATATTATACAATGATGTTGCATTTATTATTTTAAACTCGTCATAATCTACATAGTAGAACATTGATTAACAACAACTTATTATTTTTTTAATATATGGATTAGATTTTACAACACAACTACACAAATCACAAATTTCATAAAGGAATTATTTCACAATATTAGATATTGACGAAAGATAATCAATACTCATATATTTAAACGAGCAATTCAAAGCTTATATAAGGTGAATAACATCTATCATGTTTGATTTGACTGAATATCCACTTCTATWTTTATTGAAGAAAAAACTAATAAAAATGTATATAAACTAACGAGCATAAATATGGTTTAATAAAAAACAATAAGATAAAAAAAAATCACCATATATAAAAGTGAATGTTTTCAACTTAGACAATAAATTTGTTTAAATACATATATGAAGATCCCATTTTAAAACCATTATATTTTTAGATTTTATATTTTTAAAACGAAGTAAAAAAACAATACCTTCACCTAAATGTTTATTTGTTTTTCTTATCCATCTGAAGCTTGAAGACTAAAAAACCAGTTTATAAAAACTTGTATTCAATAATTTAAACGAGGTTTTAAATAATTATGGTAAAAAGGAAAAAAGATGTAGATGTTAGACGTCGATTAAATTTACTGTATGAACCTAAATTTTTAAATGCATCAATTATCTAAATCATGTTAGATGCCACCGAGTCAACGTAGAGAGAGGAAATACTATTTAGCTTTAACATGTAAACTTAAAATTAAAATGCTATTTCCCAAAATCGGAACACAATGCGAAATAAAATGAAAATTAATTTAAATTTCCAGCTGACTTTATGAAATCTGAAGTCGAAAAACCGAAGCAACAGAGAAATGATTGATAAAAGGCATATAGTTAACGGAGAAGAAAGGGATTAATCACAGCACGATTCCATGGCCGGCCAATTCCCGCCGGCGGCCGAACTCACCAGCAGTCGGCGGCCGGTGCTCCTGCCCGGCGAAATTGAATGCTCAATCCTCTCCTCCGTTGACATCGAGTGCGATGAAATTCAGACCTTCCCTCACCTCAAGTCCGGCATTATCATCCTCACTACTCATCGTCTTGTCTGGATTTCCGACTCCACCAATTCCTCCAACTCTGCCGTAGCCGTGCCTCTCGCCACCGTCACCCATATTTTTTCGCCCAAGAAGAGCATCAAGGCCATATTCGCCTCGCCCAGGGTCCGTTTCCAGGTATCGTTTTCCTCTGAGGGTGGGGTTTCCGGCACCGTTTCGAGATCGGCTGTGATCACGGTTGTAATTAGGGGAAAGGGGGATCATGACGCCTTTGTGAGCAAGTTTTTGGAGAATTGGCGAGCCAGGGCGTGGGAGAACGAAAATAATAAAGTTTCCAGTAGTGGTTCTGCGTCGGGGTCGAGCTCTACCGGTTCGAGTGGATTCTATACGAGTGAAGGAACGGTGAGGATGGTTGGGGTGGCCGGAATTTTGAGGAAGGAGCAAGAGTTGTGGGAGAATACTGATAAGAGTTTGCAAGAAGCTTTCCAGGATCTAAATGCTTTAATGGTAACTTCAGTATCCCATCTTTAATTTTGTATTTGCTACTTCGCAGTTACAGTGATCAAACAGGATTTTGTTTTTCCAGCACTCTTTGCTAACCGATCGGATTTCTGTCGCCACCTTATCTGTTCCTTTTTGGGGTTGAAACTTGCTCCTAATCATACTCGCGAATGTGCTACTTATAATCAGAAATCTTTGCCATGAAAAAACCACCACGTGCATATTGTTAATCATTATGCAAGTGACTGAATATTTATTTCTTCTCCCTCTTCTCTTTCGTGAATGTGTTACTTTTTGACGGAAATCGTTTACTCTTGCTATATTTTAGATGTCCCAAAAGCCCGACTTGATTTAACCTTCTTCTTCAACCTATTTGAGTAAACCATGCGCCGCTCAAGCTTGATCTAGAATACCTGTGTTGTTTAGTCGTGGTAGGGAATTTACACCATGTTGCACGAAATTTCATGTTTAGTTTTTTTTTTTTTTTGCTTTAGAAGATTTTTAACTTACTTTAATTTTTCGTCTCTTGTTCTGAAAAAGACTATTTCCATTTACAGAGTAAAGCCAAAGATATGGTAATGCTAGCAGAGAAGATGAGACAAAAACTTATATCCAGTACAAATTCTCAGAGTGGTGCTATAAACGACGACGAAGTAGCTTCCAAAGAAGAAATACAAGATTGGTTGTTGAGCGTTGGTATCATATCCCCTGTGACGAAAGAGTCTGCTGGTGCTCTTTATCACCAACAGTTGTCTCGTCAGGTTCCTTTTCTACAAGGCCTACGATTACTGCAAGTGAAACTCACTTTGTTATTCGGTTTTACAGATAATTTCAAATTACAATGTGGTTTATAATATAATCAAATCATAACCTCTCTCTTTATTAGTTTTAAGCACCCTGCATGGCTGTGGTTTATTTACTTTTAGATTTTCATTTTAACCTTATGTTAATTTGGGCCTTGAATTTTTATGGGAATTGATACATGTCATGTAGCACAAACCTTTTATTACCACTATAAGAGAGAGTCTCTAGATTCAAAATAATTCAGGGGAATATTCCTCAATTTTGATCCAACACCATAAGGTGCAATAACCGAAATTCTCCCATCCCATGCACAACACTATTCCATAAACTTTCAAGTGAACTCCGGATGACTGACCAACCCTTGTTAATGTAACACTTTACCTGAGAAAAAAAAGGATTGAGCTTACACTTTGGATGAAGTAGCAACCACAGAGACTTAAGAATCTTAATCCAGTGATCATTAAACCTTTGTCTGGTTAGAGCAGAAAAAAGGTACTCTATAATAGCTCGAATTGCATTCAGTCAAATTGTCTCTGAAAAATTACCTTCCTATAAACCATACCAAATACGCATTTGAATTTTTAAGGCACTTTAACGTGACAAGTTATCGCTAAAAGAGGAAAGTTCGGATAAAAGTGAGACATTAAGAAAAAAGCTTGTAGAAAGTTTGTGAGTTAAAGGAAGAATTAATCCAGTATCTTCATCGAGTCTTTTGGGTTTGAAGGAAAGCCTATTCAGGTCTAGGAGATATACATTACAACGTGCACTAAGCTCCACCACCATCGAGTTCTTTTTGTGGATAATTAAAGTTGAAAGCAATGGGAAGAAGAGGAAGGACGATAGAAGTAGTTGGATAATTTTTGTAAGTATGCATCTGAGATTCTGAGAGAAGATTACTACCAATGAGACTCTCCTCCACAAGGATCCTTTGAAAAATTGCTCGTCATTCTAGTAAGAAGTATGGTAAATGTTATAAAAATATGTGAAACTCTGGGATGTAACTTTGTTTTTTGGATAGAAATCTCCCATGATTAGATTGGAATTCAACCATTAGGATGAAGAACGATTCAATACCTTGAGGGGGTTGCTTACTAGTCAAAGAGATAGGAAGTGTGCGGAATATAAATTCCATAGGAGAAGAAAAATTGGAAGACAAACATCTTGACGAGGCACAGTAAGTTTTATGTGTGTTGACTTGAATTTTAAGTGTTAAAAGTTCCATTGAGTTGTGCATATTTCTTATATGCTATGCATATATTTTATTTCCCATTCTCTGATTTTTCAGTGAAGGAACATTTCCCCCTTTTATTTTCATGTAGTTGGCGGATTTTGTTCGAACTCCACTTGATAAAGCTGGGGGAATGATCAGTCTTATAGATATATACTGTCTCTTCAATCGTGCTCGAGGGACAGGTTTTCTCTGATAAAACAATCAAACATTTTTTCTTTTTCTCTTTCTGTTGGTGTTGAAAGTTAATGTTTTTGTTTTTTACCTTTATTTTAAACAGAATTGATCTCACCAGATGATTTGTTGCAAGCATGTTCTCTTTGGGAGAAGATTGATGTGTAAGTACTCTGGTATCTGCAGCATTTAAAAAATGAAATTATGTTGTTTAATTTTTGTATAATATGGGACAATGGTTTTTTCTTGATTTCTAAGTTTTTATGAAATATTTTGTATAACCATTTCTTACTGAAAAAGTAATGATCTTCAATATCCTTCATGTTTTGATATTGTGCAGTCCAGTAATGCTCCGAAAATTTGACAGTGGAGTCATGGTAATCCAGAGTAAATCCTATAGTGATGATGAGGTGAGACATTTTATCTTAATTATTTAAGAACTATAAATTTTGATTGGCTATCATATGACAAATTTGACTTTCGTAAGTTTACTTGAAATTTTTGATTGGTGAACAGGGTGGTTATACCTATAAAACATGTTTTTTTTTTTAACAAGAAACGAACTTTTCATTGATAAATGAAAAGGAACAAAAATTGTCAAAGATACAAACCCCCAAAGGGTAAAAAGAAGGGGATACCTATAAAAATTGACACGAGTCTGCTCCTACTATGTTGTAATACTTGTAGTAAAATTAGTTCATTATCTTCCTAAATTCAGAATTAAAAACTTCAAAGTAAACATGTTTGACTCGTGTCAACAAATTAGAATATTTGTTGTAATTGCACCCTGTCTTACATTATGCCCAACTAGACTTTTCCTTCTCACCATATACATATAGTAGTAATAAGGATTACAAACAGAGGGCACTCTTGTTACTGCTATATGATTTAATGTCTATTTGCCTCCTTGAATTTAGCATAAATCAATTGGCTTTAGTGTCAGATCTTATACTCCTTTTTTTCTTTCCAAGTTTTTTCAGACTTCCTGCATTGTATATTTAATTAAAATCTTACAAGAAAGCTTCATATGTTCTTCCTGAGAAGCATGACGAGTCGATGCTTTCTATTCTAACCCATGTTTATGTACAGGTTCTTGCTAGAATCAAGACTCTCGTGACAAAGCCTGATGCTCTCCAATTTGGTATTAGCGCTAGTGATGCTGCAAGGACTCTTGGGATTGCTCCAGCTATGGCCAAGGAGCATCTTTTAACAGCAGAGAGCAAAGGTGTATATATATATGCTACTTGCTTGAAGTACTGTGTATATAGTTGAATTTCAGTTAACCTTGGAGACTCGATGCAGGTTTGCTGTGCAGAGATGTCAGCTCCGAGGGTTTCCGATTTTATATTAACCTATTTCCTGAGATCAACTCAGAAGATTTATATTTGTAAGTAAAAATCTTTGTGTTACCGGCTCTTTCATTATCTCAACACTTGATTTTTCCAAAAAAAATATATATATATATATGAAATCTTTCATTTAGTAATTCTTTCTATAGGCTTTGTGTTTATGAATTTATATAAATTACATTTTCTTTAATAAAATAATCGCTTGCTTCAGGGTTACAGATTATGCAATTTATGCGACATGGATCAAGGCAGCCATTGGTAATAGGTACTTGTTCATTGTTCATAAATTTTCATAAGTTTACATTAGGTATTAATTCACTTGTTTGCCGTTCATTATTATACATCAAGCTGTAATTGATTTGGATTAATCTTTCTTTCAATAAGAAAGAATTGGTTACTTAGTATATATCCGAAAAATATTTGATTTTAGCAAATCCCAAATCCAGGCAGTAGCCCAATGTGAGGTATTTCCTCACAATATTCTTGGAATTCAAATGAACAAGCCTGAAGGCGATTACAAGCAACACCCCACCAATTCGAGGGTGGGTAACTCTCCAATCCTTCTAACTCTCAACCAAATCCTCGATGATCCCCTCACCTTCCTCCCCAAGCTATTTCTACCAAAACAGTAAC